GAATGGACGCTCATTGATAGCTCGTCTCTCTCTCTCTCTCTCTCTCTCTCTCTCTCTCTCTATGTACTAGCCACATGGCGGCGGCAGCGGCTTCGAGGAGTTAAGAACCTCTCGAGAGGAAAAAGCGAATTTGATACTGGCAAGTATTTTTTTTTCGCTGCTGTTCCCACACGGCTGAGGTCCACAGGAGCTGCCTACGCTACGCTACATACTTTTTATGCACTTTTAGTACTTTTAGCACAATCAGGTGAGAAAATCTGATCCAATTAAAAAAGACGCGAGCGATACGTGGGTGCTGGGAAATCGAGTAAAAGTTCATATATAGTTACATCCATTTCTCACTCAAAGGCATGTGCACGAGCAACGTTCTTCGCACGAGCACGAATCGAGCCATCGAAATGATAAGTTGACACGTCTAGACGTAATTACACAGACATCGACGTCTAATTTCGAATTATGAAATTAAAATATCGGCGTGTAAGATCGCCAACGCGAGCGGAGATCGTTCATTATGCTCGTGCACGAATCGAGAGCTCGAGGCTCAAATTAGCGTCGTCTTCGTTGACGTTTTAGCAAGAGACACGCAGCATCAATTAGAGCGCACAACGCGGGAGCGCGGATGCGTCAGATTTTGAGGGCAACAACTTTTTTTTCTTCTTTTGTATGTCGTACCAGCTGACTAATGATGCGAGCGAAACGTTTTGGTTTACATTTATAGCTCCATCAAAACATTCCAAACGCAGCTGCAGAGTTTTAACTTTGAATATCTGACGTATACGACTGTTTATTTACATACCGAAAGAAAGAAAAGTTATTAGAGCGAGAAATTGTTCTTATGGATACTTTTGCTCGGTGGAACTGGACATATGTATCCATGGCGAGACAAAGACAAGATAATAAAGTAACGCGAAGTTCCTGGTTATACACTTATTTTTACTTTGCTACTTGCAGGTTCAAAGATAAAGGTACTCACCATCTAGCGGTGGAAGCTTGAAATATTATTTTGTATTTGAAGCGATCGAAAAGTGGTCACAATTGTTTGACACAATTAAATTATCATTTTCAGGGTATTTAAGATGAATTAAATATTTGACACATAATTGTAACAGCAAAATCGTCAACAACAATTTGAAACATTGTAAATAGTTATTTTTGGTCGATAGTCCATTATTAAGGTTCAGCATTTCTACCAAGGATGTAATCACGAAAAATTGTTAACGTGCATCCCGACGACACCCGATTTCAACCGACGAAAATTGTTCTACATGTGCCGTAACACAACGCGCGATTATCCTCGGGGGTTTGCATCAGCCTCGCACGCACTCGCGTTATCACACTTATATAATACGCGTGCACGAGGCTCGAAAAAAAGACGCGCCACTGATATACAAATCGAGAAAAGAGTTGTTCTCCGGTGCGGCATCCGTGACGACGACTAAACTATTTGCCTTCTTTCGTTATAGAGAACGCGTTCGAAGAATGTGTATGTATATATCCCCGCGCGCGCACGCGGCTTTGCTCTCACTTAGCACCACGTGTGCCACTATATAATACGCACACATCTCGAGGTATCTATAAGCCTTACTATGCAACCGAGCGTGTAACCTACTTTTCCTGGCTCTGTGGTGCTTGAAAAATTCGCGATGAAAAAAAAAAAAATTATCGACGTTAATGTAAACAAACGAATAAAAAAATGTCCAGTGCTGTACGTGTAACACAGATGTGGGATATGTCGTGTATTTTAATTGTCGGTTTAATCGAGTACCTATTCAATCGGCGGGCAGCGAGAAAGAAAGAAGGAAAAAAAAATAGAAGAAGGAAGCGGCGAAATTACCGATCTCGCGTATAGTTTTAATAACTATTATAACCGATGTCGTATATACAGAGAAATGGGCGTCGGCTGTATCATACATACACACGCGCGGCTACATATATATATGCTGTATTCTACGAATGTCCACGAGAGAGAATAGCATTACAAAGCGAACCAAGGTGATTCAAGGTAATTGCACTTTGCCGATTTCATCCGGACGCTACTCAGCGCATGTTTATTATGCATATAAAGCTATGATGATCGTTCGTTGTGGGCAATTTTCTTTTTTTATTCGATATCGAGCGAACAATCATCCTCGATGAAGATTTAACTTTGGTACTTTTAATTGACTCGATAGATGTGTTGTTTTTTACTCTTGCAGGTACCAATACCGAGAGAGGCTGAAAAAAATTCAAGTGATTTAATTCCGTGCGTGGGCGAGTAGATTAAGATTATTTTGACATTCGATGCTGAAAGTCATCGGTGTATGGCAACTCCGATACGACAATCTTGAAATAACTTTAAAACATTTTTCGTTTAATTCTTGTTCGAGAAATTCATAAATTATGCGAAATTACTAAAGTTGCTAAATTTAGCCGATGCATATGATTCATCGTATTTTTTTGCATTTAAAAAATCGATCGATTAAGATCCATTCACGTGACAATTATTGCGAATAAGGATTGAACGACCTTATAATGACTCCATTAAAAAAAAGAATAATAATTTTCTAAAAGACATCCTGCCAACCTGAAGAAACATCTCAAAGCTAAAGTCTAAAAGTCTTTCTGTTCGTGATACCGATTACCAACAATTATCTTCGCGTGCCCCCTTATCATGTTTAGTCATGAGTAATTTCTATTTACACGTGTTTTAAAACAAGTTTATTGTCGCTCAAAAAAAAGCTCATGCGTTCGATTCTTTTACGATACTCAATCCATTTTTATCTTTCGTAAGACTAAACATTATCGTTCGGAGACGAGAAGTAAAAAAACTAGACAATTCGAAAGTACAGAATATTTGTGACAGAGGTGAGTACTCATATACTCCAGATTTTTTATGATAACTATATTATCACACATATCATGTATGTTTCCGTTTCTTTTCGTATTCTCTGACATTACTAATTGTTTCTTTTTGCGACGAGTTCGCTGTATGTTTAGCGACTTTGAGTTTGTACGTTAAACCAATGCTATTTATAAACGTTCGTTATATAGCTTAAATTAATTGGCGAGACAAATTTTTCGCAGTGGAAAAAAAACTCACTAGTAAAATTGAGATATCAAGAAAATTTCTTTTAACTTTTATGCTCGTCGGATGAATTTATTTTACAGCAGACGCAATGTAACTTTTGGTCATAAATGATATTTAATTATGATTCGTAGTTGAATCCTTGGAAAGTTTCATGTATCGTGCAATAAAGGCCATGTTATCTTGCTATTTATGCTGTATAGAAATTTAAAAAATGTCTGTTTATTTTTAATTTTAAATTACAAATTTTACCGAATCGAGGAGTATATTGAAAATAATTGCCTCGATTTTAGCGAAGCCAAGAAAAAAAAAGTGAAACGACGAAATCGAGAGGAATATTAATTTTTCACGAAAGCCACGCACAGCAACAAAGTCAAGCTCGGCATCGTGAAAGTCCAACGATTCAAAATCGGCTATTGACACGGCATGTTTCACGCAAATACTCTCGAAAATGATTTCACCGCGTAAAGAGGAGTCAAATTTTCTCGAAAGGAAAATCCTACCGATCCGCCAATTTCACGCTTGAAAATTCGAGGACCAACATTCGTGTACCGTCGGCTTATGCGACATATAGTCAGCAGTTGCGCGAGTATTACATTTTTATTTTTCTCCTACTCATACAGCAAAAGTCGTAAGTTACAAGTTGCCGACGTCGTACAGTAGTATATAGCTGCTGCAGCAGCAACAGTAGCAAAAGCAACGTGTGCACCTGACAATAATATATGATGTTACATAAACCCATATATGCACGTCGCTGCACATCTCTCAGCGCGTCACAACACAAAAATAACAATATATATGAACGTACAAAAATAAAATATTCAACATTACCCAAGACTCGAGAGTATAATTCGCGAAAGATCGCGACGCGCCGCTCACCTCTCGAGTAATATATCATATACTTCCTTGTATATATGCAATCAGCGTGTCTAAAAAAGCTACACCGCCAATCTGTGCTCTATTTTTTCGAACAGTCGAGTAGATTCGAAAAATGTAAACACACACCCATGTACACGGCTACTCTCGCTCCGTCGAATCTCGCGTACATACACTTCTCGGAACATAATTGGAGCTGACTCGCGCGCGTGCGAATATTCGTCTATTATATACTCCATCGCTCGGGCACCACCAGCTGATTCACGTAAGTAAACATGTCAAATGAATTCTTCACGTCGCGTATGGTAGTGGAGTTTTCGCACACGTGCGCGAGATATATATATACCAACCATTACCACACTCACGTACAATCTCGTATCATCATTTTATAACGATATTGTACGTCAGCTCGAAAAAGGAGTAGTGTATAATCGCGGTTGCATATATCTGTAATATCGTCGTCCTCGCGCGGATGTCTTGTATTATTATTGGCGCTCGCGCGCGTATTTTGCAACGAACGAACGATCACGATGATGGGGCCTCAGCAGCTCCGAGCCTAAAGTAGCATAAGTATGCATCATGCATATGATGTTGCATAGAGCCAAGACGACGACGAGGAGAGGCTATACTACTAGTCTTTTTTTTCCACGAGCTATAAGTGTATATAATGAGAGAAGCGACGCAAAGCATATATATAATATATAAAAGGTAAAGCAGCGGCACGTAATACGCCGCGCGCGTATATTTCTCAAGGCAAACAGTCAATGAAAAAGAGAAAAGGCTCTCATACACGTACGTATAAACGCATGGGATAAAAGAGCGGCCAAGTGAGAGGTGTATATATATGTACGCATGCTACGGAGCACGAACCTCGCGGTCGTCGTCGTCGTCGCTACCGCGAGAGACTTTTCTGCAGTCGGAGCAGAGCAGCTACATACGCATAATTTCAGCGGGATAGGTATATTCAATGGTTTCGTCGTTCAACGATAAGATGCGTATAGAGAAAGAGAAGGTGCCCTCCAAGACTTTATGGAATAAATTGATATATATAAATATTTACCAAGGACTCGTCGCCATTGTCAGCGCTCATAGCCCAGCAGCTGAGGAGAAGCAGCGGCAGCAACAGCAGCAGCGGCGACTCGCTCTTCTTCTTCTTCGCCCTTCGTCTTCGAGGGTATCTGTCGTCTGTGGCTGATAATCCGCATCGTCGTCGCCCGCATGCAGTCGGCACGAGCGAGCACGATTATTCACTCTCTCTCTCTCTCTCTTCACCCTCTTTTGGTCGCGCGCAGCACCTTTTCTGAATATCTTTCTTTCTTTCGCGAGTATTATAAAAAAACACAACCCCGTGCGCGCGAAATTCTCTCCTCTCACGACAGTAGTAGCGATCGCCCACCGCGACGACTCCTTTTCTGGAGCATCGTCGGAGAGGTATTCGCTTATTTACACTTCGCTGTATTATGGTACACACGAGATGTACACAAAGAAAGACGAGTATACCCTATTACAGCGAACGGAGAAAGTCGCTCGTGAGTCAAAAAACAAAACACCAACAAAAAAAAAAACACCTGTCGCTGTGCTCAGCTGCCGGCGGTGGCGGCAGCGCTCATCCGCTGCATTGTGTTACAGTATAACTCCTGTATTTTTTTTCCTCCCCTTTGCGTCCAGCGACGTTTTTAGCGCAGACACACCGTGTGTGCCAAAGCACAAAAGTGCACCCGCGAGACTCCCACAACACAACACGGAGCACTGCACACAGGCGGTGAGGTTATGGAGGACCGAGTGCGCGTTGCACACAGCACTCACGGGTAAACAGGTGTTCGTGAAAAAAAAAAAAATAAACAAAGAAAAATTGCAGCGACCAAAAACGGAGTCGACGAGACTCGCGGCGCACAGCACCTTGTATCTTCGGTTACACTCGCGCGAACCTTCTTCCTCTTTTTTTTTTTGGTTAACAGCGTCGAGCTCAAAACAAACAGATCACCTCGCGCACACAGGTAAAAATAAGGCAAAAACAGCAATTATAAATGCACTCGATTCGCGCACAAAACTCTCGTTCTCTAAATTTTCTCAATTATCAACTTTTGCAAGAGCGCAAAAATCGTATACATGCAAATGGTACACAGAGACGATACACACGTCCAACTGCGTATACAGTAAATGTACAACTGACTAATATTATGATATAGCGCACAGATCAGCAGCAGCACACGGTGCACAGGTAGGTAGGCAGCAGTAGTAGTAGTAGTAGTAGTGGTATATATACAAGCCTCCGATGGCAGAACGGAGCAACAGCAGCAGCAGTTATACAAGTTGTTGTCGTTGTTGCTGTGTGTATATGTGTGTGTGTGTTTCGCGTCACGCGTGTCTGCTTTGCGCCGTGTGTCGGCGCTCACGTCGACCGAATAACTGAGGTCTGAGAGTGACTGTATATAGGAGAGGAGGAGTAGGAGGACTCGGCGCGACTGGCGAGCGACGGCATTTATAGTATAGGTGTATATAGGTACGTGTGTGTAGAGGTATTGTGTACATGTGCCTGCGACTGCCGAGCGAGACTTACTCGCGGGCCGGGCGTCGACACTCTATACGAGCGCGCAAGCGAAAGAGAGCTCGAGAAATGTACCTTGCCGCAGTTCTACTATATATATAATAAGCTCCTGCTCCTTTTCACTCCCATTGCGCCATGGGTAGGTACACCGACGTGCATATATATGTATATAGCGTACACGCAGATCATTGAGCTTCGCGCGACTCTTACCTTTGTGTACAACGTATAGTACAGTCTAGGTATACGATCGAGATATACTTACTTCCTCCAGAGGAATGTCGACGATTCGCTGCCCATATCGCAATCTAATATCATCAGATACTCCCTTGTTTCATGATACTTTTTTTAAACTTTTAAGCTTTTTGCGTAATGCTCACGAGAGATTATCGAACCGCTCGATTATTATGAAAATTGCGCTTGAGTCGCGCAAGTAGTACAAATCCTGAGTAAACGCTACGAAGTATACTTTCGAGATACCGAAAAGTCGACACGAGTAAAAGTTTTTTGGGACTCGTTGAATCATCGCGCTTTATCGACGACGCACCTTTTGTGCTTTTACCTGGAAAAACCCCTTCTTGTTCGCTATACGTAGCGGATGCTCGGATTCTTGCTCTTTTTACTTTTGGGTAAAAACGTGACTGACCTCTCGTTTGTTCGACTGATTGTTGCTGTGGTTGCGAATGAGTTGGTGCGGTTTTTTTTATGCAAAGAGCTGCAGTATTTCTGATGATATTTCCTTGGAACGTAGAATTGGATTATCTTCCAATAAAAGTAAATTCTTTCGTGAATTATACTAATAAGACAATGAATATCAAAATTGTGCAATGGAAAAACGTTCGAAATGTGGAAACCAGAATAGATTTTTGAATTTAAAATTTTTCAATCTTAAATTAGGCTTGATTATTCTTTTATTATTATTTATTTATTGAATATATCTAACGTAGTAAATTATTAAAAATCTTGATTCTGATTGTTTATCTTTCAATTAAATATAGAGTGAATTGTAGGATATAGTGATCAAGTGGAATGGGTTGGTTCATGCAAGACGAGACGAATTGTACAAAAAGACGGACACACTTTTTCACAACATTTAATAAAACACTATAAACTATTCATGCTTTTTTTACTCAAATAATCTAAAAGTTACTTACATACGTATAGTGTATATGTATTTTTTTTCATTTTATATTTTTAGTTTGATTATTTAAACTCAAATTTTGAAAGAGCTTTAGTAAATGTGTATGATTCGACCGATTATTTGCTTTGAATCGTGAAATATGTAGTACCAATTATTGATAAAGTAAAAAGAAGTCAGGTTGCCTTTTTTTCGCCTGATTCAATTATCAAACACATTTACTAAGGTCTATGAATTACATAAAAAGCAAAACTCAAATTCATCGTTCTAATACATATAAATTGAATGCCGCAACATTCCTCGCTTCGTACAATAATTTTTTTTATCATATATTTAACGCAAATACTCGATTCAAGTCGCCAAAGATTATTACATTCTATCAGTAACAAATAGAAACCAAACCGGTAATTTGCCTACTTTTAATAGTTTTTACATATTTCTGCGAACAAAAAAAAAGATTGAATCGCAGAGGTATTGTGTACTTACAATTAAAAAACGGAAGTGTTTCGCCGGAAAAACACTCGGGAACTGACACGACCGATATAATATATAATATCGTATGTATAAATTTAACACTATTCATATCATTAATTTATTCTTATAAATTAGTACTTGCGTCAATTAAGAATTTTAGCGATCAACGTCCCGGGATGCTAAATATAGATTCGTTTAAAAATTTGTTCAACTACTATAAAGAGCGTGCTAGAAAATTAATGAAGCAAGGCAACGAATCAATCTTACGATTTTACACATTTTCATGGTTATTCACCGCACAATGAACGAATGCATTTCGGATAAATTGCAATAATCTTAATTTTTACGAGAAGTCAATAAAACTTTTCGCAACTATGGTCCACTAATAGTTTATAACGCTGTTTATCTTTAAATTTACGGAAAAGTTACAAAATGTAAAAAAACGTTAAGAAACTCATAACAAAATTAATTCTAAAGGCAGTTTGGTGTCAGCTTTTGAAGAAAACACGGTTGTATGAAATTTCCAAATTCATTTATAGGTGTAACGACAGTAAATTATTTCATTTTTTTTTATAATTACGATAATTGATTTGAAATAAGAAAAAATTCAAATAACAAATCCGCTATGTACAAATTTTTTTGACATACTGTGCGTTAAATGACATCTTCATTGATATCTCTCGATACATGAATGAGAGGGTCCGTTAAGTACAGTTAAATAAATCGAACAAACACTTACAGACTCATCTTTACATGATTTGGATAATGGTGATTTTTTGTACAATATGTCAAAAACTTTATGCGACCCGAGCGTAAATTTAATTTTTAATTCTCATCACATAAAATAAAATTCATGATAAACTCAAATGTTTTAAACTTAAATAATACCAAACTTAATTTTTTTAAAATTAATTGTTGCATTTTTATAAGCTGATCCCATAATGTTTTGGTCACAACCTCGTTGAATTCTTATTATTTTTGGAATAATATTTTTCCAATTTCGCTGAAATTTTCGCAATTTCATAAATACGTTGTTCAATTATCTAAAAACTTTTTCAACTAATGGTCAATAGTTCCATTACAAACATTTAAAAATCGCCCGTTATTGTAGCGCTTACATGCGATACTTCGATAAGTCTTATTTATTGGAATAGTAGCACAGTGCGACGTAATTGCGTCCATCCCGGGCGGACGCACCATTTTTTTTAGAACGTTTGAAAATCTCGAACAGTTACTTTTTTGTTAAATTATGCAGCTTCGTTTCTTGTCAACTGAACGACGCAGTATTAATAATTTTTTCGTGATTGCTTTCGTGGCTGTCGTTCAGAACAATATTACTTTCAGGTATGATATTTTGTCGGTTCCAAAACACAATATCATAGAACAAAACAATAACTTTTCAAGTTTTCTCTCTCGCTATTTGTGCTCTGGAGCAGAGCTTCGCAGTTAATTTATTTTTAAAATCATTTATTTATGCTTACACCTGAGATTCCAAAATTCATATTCGTTTAGCTAATTTTTCACAAAATTTCATGTACGATTGAAAACTCAGGTACGAAGCTGAATATCTTTTGATATTGTTCAAACGCATCATTGGAATCTCAAAATTCGCTAAGAGATTAATTCAACTAATGTGCCTGTACTTAGCGCCGATTAAAATTGATGTATTGCAAAAATATACAACAACTTACAAGATTACAATATTCACTTTCCACACCACAGAAAACTTTCTGACAACGAATTAAACTTACTTAAACGTACAAGTCAAAAATGATTTGAACACATACATTTATGCTTACTTTTCCATTGAAGTAACTTACATCGATCAATCAGGACTAAACACAGATACAGAGAGGAATTCAAGAAAATTCGTTTTTTCCCGATTTTTCGTAATCATACAAAACTGACTAATGCACCAGCATAATCAATGAATAATATTACTATATATGTATATTGCACAAGTTTTACCGAGAAATAAATCTAAAAAAATTACGCTTGATGTTCTGTTGAAGAATTGTAAGGCATCACGAATGCAGAGCACAGACAACCCGTCAATTCAAGGCAACGAATGTCGAAAAATCAATCCCAAGAATCTCAATCAAGTAAAACTGGCATTTTTCAAAATTCTCTCAACTCTTCAAAAATGTACAAATAACATGTCGGAGACACGAGCGGTTTTTATCGGAGGAGCCGCCGTCGCCGAGATCAGCTGTGTGTCGCTCAGCTGCGAGCGCATCTAGGCTGAGACGGTTTCGACCATGGACTTTTTAATGATCTCACCGAAATTGTCATCGCAATCGTCCCCGTTGTGCTGTTGCTGCTGCTCTTGCTGCTCGAGCGAATTATTATGATGCAGCTTATCTGCTAGATCTAGTTTAGTCCCGTTGACTTGGTGATAAACTTGATGCAGCTGTTGTTGTTGTTGTTGTTGTTGTTGTTGTTGTTGTTGCTGCTGATGCTGCTGCTGCTGAAGTTGTTCCAAGTGTTGCTGTTGCTGTGGCGTTTGCTCGTGTTGCATCTGCATTTGCTCGTGCGATTGTGGCTGCGGTGGCTGCTGCGACTGCGGCTGATGATGATGGTGTTCTTGCTGTTCCTCCTGAGACTGCAGATGCTGTTGCTGTGGCTGCTGTTGCGCTTCGAGGCAGTTACCATAGTAAGAGTATCTGGAAGATAGGAGTTCTGAGAACGAATCTAGCTTGCCCATCTGTGGCACGACCGAATTCATCGACTGAAGCGTGTTGAGATTTGTGTACTGCGACCCCGTCATCTCGTCCTGGCCAAAAGGCGCGTCGTAGATGACGTTGTTGTGCTGGTGCTGGTGTTGCTGGTGTTGCTGGTGTTGCATGAGCGAGTGCGTCTGTTGGCAGTTGTTGGTGGAGCTCGTAACGGACGTCGCGTCCTGGCTATAGGTGGTGCTGTAATGCGAAAATCCCGGGCTGGCCGGGAACTGCATCTGAAAGGGCGATCTGAAAGAGAATATCAAGGTAAGAGAACTAGTAAACAAAAAAAGATTCTATAACCTGGGTATTTAAGCCTACCTGGACATCGAGGGTAAATTCTGATAACTATGGTAATCCGTATAGATGTTGGATTGAAAGCCCAGACTCGACCCCTGTCCCGTCACGCCGTAATGCTGAAAACCCTGGGAAAAGTCGGATTGCAGCTTGCCGCGCTGTCCCGTGTCGCCGAGGCCGTCCGCGTCGCCGCCACCGGTACCACCTGCGGCCGTGGGATAGCAGTCGTCGCGCATCGCGTATAGGTCCAGGCCGTCGGGCCGCGACGAGACGCTGTCCGACGAGTCGTAGTGCAGACTGGTGAAGCCCGCGCCGAGGCAGTCGCTCGACGAGTCCATCAACGACGAGGCAGCGGTCGTGCAGTTGGCGGTCGTCCCCGTGGAGCCGGAGGACGAGGAAGACGTGAGAAGCTGCTGCGGAGCTCGAGAAACCGCCGCCGCCGCCAGTCTGGCGTGATGCTGCTCGTGCATCATCTGCTGGCGCAGCTTCTCCTCGCGCTGCTGCGCCTCGTTCGTGTCCAGCTTCAGGCGCATTATCGTGTGTATGAAGTGGGTGCGCACGCGGATGGGATTGAACTCGATGCGGCCGGAACGATTGGCGCAGCCGTCGCGCGAGCAGCCGCACGGGAAGCCCTGCCGATCGACCTGTGTGTACGTGCATTCGCGCGAGCGCGAAAGAAAAAAGAAAGATTATTAATATATTCGTGATTTTTTGTTGACATGTATATCGAGAGATAAGCGTATGGGAAATGAAGAAGATGGAGCAAGCAGTCATGAGAAGAAAAAAAAAATAACGATGAAGACATCGCCGCGCAGTCTTGGAATGATATTGACATTTTTGCGTTATCAAGCCGACTCGAACCCGAGATAAAGCCTGCGCTGCTGCGTAAAGCAAAGCGAGCGTATATATATATATAAGGTATTAACTTAAAATCGGCAATTCTTCAATGGTTTCTAGATAAACACAAGTATTTATTAACAAATTCACTATTTACAATTATATTACCATATAAACTTTCTTACCTAGATAAACACAAGAAACGACATTTAAAGTTAACTGCCGATCTTGCTTACAACCGTATGACTAATGATACAATACTCTGTATTCTACAATTTATACGCAGAGCTCCCCACTCTACACCTCGCTGTAACGAGGATTAAATTATTTAAAGAAATAATATTTCTTTACATATATGTGTGTGTACGACTTGCGTGAGTTTATTTTTAAACTCGCTCGATTGAACAAGCTTCTTATAAGCGCGAAGCCATCGTCTTCGTCGTTTCGCGCACACCAGCTTTGTGATAAAAATATAATTTACTCCGAGGCATGCAACATTTTCTTCAAGTCCCCGTATTATAAATGTAAAATTTTCGAATCGTTATTATTTCCTCGTCGTAATTACGCGTTAATTACAATGATATTATATTATTATAAAGCCTAAAATACGCACTTGACATTTGACGTTGGCACGGCTGCAGGGGCAGCTCTCCGGGTCGCAGTAGCCCTTGCAGGCGCAGCCGCAGTGCTCGCGGCTGGCCCTGATCTCGCGGCACTCGTCCTTCTCCACGGAGTCGATCTTGCGCACCCCCGAGGCCCTGAGCAGAGCTCGCCTCTGCCAGGTGGGCACCGGCTGCAAGAAGTAGTAGCTGTCCATGTCGAGGTCCTCCTCTTCGTGCTCGTCGCTCGGCTCGTCGTCCGTGTCGTCGCTGTGGCTCTCCGAGCCCGAGGCTGCGTCGCCTCCGACATTTCCGCCACCGCCGCCGAGCATGCTGCTGCTGCTGCTGCTGCTGCTGTTGCCGACGGACGCGTCATCGACGTTGACGTTAACGTTGACGCCGACGTCGCCAACGCCGCCGCTCACTACGTCCAGTAGAGCGCCAGGCGCGCCGACGTCGAGATTGTTGACGCTGTCGGCGTTGATGCCGCTAACGCTCGCATCCTGGCCCACGACGCCGGCCGCGACGATGGCCGCCGAGCGACGTTCCGAGCGCAGCTGGGCCAGACGAGCGCGATGATTGCGGCGCTGCTCCGCGGCGTGCTCGGACAGGGAGAACCTCTCCATGTGCTCGTGCCTCGCGTGCATGCCCAGTGTGCTGCCTCCCTGTAGCAACAAGAGAACGTCGATGAATAAAAGAGAGGGCAAGTTTAGGAGAAAAAAAGGAGCGAAAACGACGAGCGCCGTGAAAACTCGAGAGAATCCAAGATAAAGGGCACACCGGTGTGTGTGCGCGCGCGCGCTACAGATATAGTACAACTATTAGCACATCAAGGGGTTCCATCGCGCACTTGTATATCTTCGCGGGGGGGCGGACGCGGAGTCTCTGAACTTTGCCCGATGCTCGCCTTTGGCTCCGTGGATTATGTACGCAAATACCCTCCGATAATTGCGATAATATCGAATGAAAAATAACGTTATACTAAGTATACGGTGCGAGCTTCTAATCGGACCATTAGATTTAATTTGTACATTTTATTTTGAACTTTACATTTGTTTCTTCTCTTCCGAAATCTTACTACGATACAAAACAAATTTTGATATCTTTATCCTTACATTCTTACCCTACAAAAGAAAAGAAAAAAAAAAGATTAAGAAAGCTCAGAAGATTTAAATGACGAACCTGGGACGGTACGCAAGTAAAGCCTTGGGCCCTGGGGAAGTAATAGACCGTGACCGCGTCGAACTGTATGTTGCGCTTCTTCTTGGGTTGTTGCTGCTGCTGCTGCTGCGTCGTCGTGGTCGTCGTCGTCGTCGAAGTGGACGCCGTTGCGGCCGCGACCGACGACGACGCGGCGGACGTCGACAGCTGGACGTTGGGCCTCTTGGGACTGCTGGCGCCGGACAGATGCGTCGTCGACTGCGCGTCGTCCAGTCCGCCGACGATGCAGTCGTCGACCACCTCCAAGCGCCGCCTCTTCAAGCTGCTCTTCGTCGGTACTTTTTGACTTATGTTGATGGCGCCGCTGGTACTGCTGCTGCTTGTGATTGGCAACGTCGGTGACTTCAACACCTCGCCGCTGCTGCCGTACAGCTGACTCATCGCTGCATTGCCATTCAAGGACAAACAAATGTTCGTTAAATAAATTCTTTACTAAGTGTGTGTGTGTGTTTTTTTCTCTCTCTCTCTGTTCTCGCGTTCTCGCGCTGTATGCTCTCGATCGTCGTCTCGTTATATTTGTACAATAATTTTTTTTTATTATTTTTCTTTTTATTTATCGACTGCGAGGTGCGCTCGCAGAGAAACGATACGAGGAGCAATTTGTAAATTACGCAATTATCGCGCGCGCGCGCGTATTAAGGTCATTTATTGTTGTAGTATATTTATAAAAAAAAATATAAGCTGCGGCGCGTCGATTCGCAGCGAAAATTATTATTGCTTCATCGCGTGCGTTATTATTGAAAAATTCCTTCGAGGCAGCTCTCACGCGCGCGCACCGCACACCAACGTAAACGCACCGATGTAAATTTATATTATACAAGTCAAATTCGTCTTTGATGCAGCGCTCATTGCACCGAGGAGCTTATTTTAATGAGACGAAAACGAAGAGAGTTTACATTACATCGCCGAGGGACACGCTTTTCGCAACGATGTGTGCAGCGGCAAGAGAGAGAGTTCGTCGATATACCTGCAGCAACATTGTGCTACATCGTTTTGTCATCGTATCGTAAGCGTTCGTATGACGAATCGACTCTAGAATTCGTGCGTTCGACGCGTTGCCGGAAAACAATTCAATACGTCAAAATCGTGTTTTTTCATTTTGTGTTATTGTCAGTTTTTTTTTTTGGACGTTTTTGTATCGAAGACGGCGCAAGAACGAGCAAGAAAATATGGTTCAAGAGGCGCGCGCATTACACCTTTCGTGAACGTATACATACAGTAGAGCAGTAGATGCCTAAAGCGATATATCATACTATCGCGTGCTGATAATCAATGCACGAACAATCGATAATGGTATAGTGTCAGCGAGCGGCACGAGTCAATTTCATGCTTGACATTGCTCTCCCGCTCTTTCACTCTTTCTCTCTCTCTCTCCCTCTCTTTTTCTCTCTATTTTTTTTATCTCGAATGTGTAGTCGATTTGTTTCTACACATCTTTAAACTATTCTCTCTATACTAGACTCGTTATAATACAAACACGGCATTAGATTTCCTCATACGCGTGGCTAAGATTCTAATTTTTTTTCCGCGACGCGATCCCTGAGTCATCGAGAGACAGCGTAGGCTGTATAAGTCTTCGGATTTATAAGACCCATCCGTATGATCTCTCTCACACACACACATACGCACGACGAGGAGCTTTTCGACTCGCGCCGAGAAATCAGCCATATGTATAGGTAGATACATCACGGCAAGTACCGCGCGCCGTTTGGAGCACTGCGCGCGCGCACGAGCCCGAGCTATACTACTACGATTCGGGCATATTCGCACAAAAGCTGCCCGAAGCTTTTCGACGACCAGGACTAAAGCTGCTCCGATCGACGAAGCGCGCGGCAAAGCTCGTGTGCCGTATATACATTTGTGATATACAAAACAACGATTGCCAAACGATCGCCCCGCGTGTATTCCACGAGCTTTGTGCCGACCTGGATCCGTGTGCTAACTGTGACCGTGTGTCGCAGCCGCCGCGCGGCCCGTTAGCGGGAACTACGCCCCAATGATTCCCCGCGGCACCGGCTTGCCTATCGTCGTTTATATACGCGATGATTATACGCGAGCTGATGTCGCGTCACACACGGTTTAAGTTGTATTATAACATAATAACCGTTTCGTCACCCGCTCCTTCGGCTCTGCGCGACGCTCGTCGGCCAATAATACGTAACGCGGACTTTTTGCCCGATCTCTTTGGAACGCGGATAGATATTTTCGCAAAGCTGCGCGGAGCTACACGCGAATATCGTAAATATATTTGACGCAGCATCGTATTTACGAGCTGATTACGATGCTTATATCGCGCGCAAAAAAGTATATTATACGCTGCGCAGCGCAAAGTGCCGCGGTGCGGGGGCTCGCTCACTCGCAAAAGAGCGAACGCGTTTACATGCATGCGTACTTACACACCGATAAAAAGTTTATACGGCCCGAAAAAAACCGGGCGCGCACGCGGAAAGCTCTCGGCCGCAGCAGCAGCAGTCGTCGCGTTTTTTATTTATTCCCTTTTTTTATTTTATTTTGTGCGCGTGCACTTTCTAAAAATTATTGCGAGCCCATAATTCAAAAGCACCCGCGTGCCTCGAGCTGCTGCTGCTGCCGTATATATTTATAAGAGAGCTGCTGCTGCTACGGCTCGCGGTAACGACGTGACGAGCAATATTGAATAAATTTTCCCCCGCGCAAACTTTTGGAGAATGTCGAAGCGGCTGCTGCTGCTGCTATACGCCATCGGTCAAACAACTGCGCACTTTACGTTTACGCGCACGCGTGTGTGTTTGTGTGTGTGCAAGTTTGTGTACAAGCATACACGGATATACGCACAAACGACATTTTGTATATATCTGTATATATTTGCGCTTACGAGCTGCAAAACGACGACCGCGACGACGTCGACGCCGGAAAGCGCTCACGCAGCCGAATAGAAAGTATACCGTTACTTTTGTATGAAGTTTTCTAGCCCGACAAGTTACTACGGCTCCTATCTCTGTATACATACTGTATATATGTACGTATAGCTCTAGCGGGCCGAGCGTGCGAGTGAAATTAAATCGATCCTCCGTGTGCAATACTACTGCCCTTACTCGAGACTCTTCTAGCCGCCTGTGTATGTGTGCGTGCGTATTCCGTACACGTTAGATACAGAACTTTTTGGCCCTTTTTTATTGTGAATCTTTGCGCTGCCGCAGCCCGTCAAAAATGAAGAGAGGAAAAAAAAAGAACGTAACGGGTATTTTCGAACGGAAAGAAAGAGAGAAACCACCGGCAAACTCGATTATTTTTATCATTTTCTTGCTCGTCCCGCGCAGTGTGTCGTTCCCATTATATTCGAGTAAATATATATGTCAATGTGACTCACGCTTATCCTTGACGTTGAGAATGTCGTCGGGTATCCGATCCAGGAACGAGGTCTCGGCTATGTCGAAGTCCGGCGTGGTGACCGCCGAGGACGGCATCGACGTCGGGCAGGCCTCGGCGAGCTCGCACTCGCGCGCGATCTCGTTGCCGAGGCCGGAGTCGCTGCCGTCGGAGCGCACCTCGTCGGGTAGCGCGCCGGCGCCCACGCCCACGGCCGACGAGGACGACAAGACCAGCGACGACGAGTCATCGGCGCCTACGTGGCTCGTGTACGTCGTCGTCTGATGATGATGATGATGATGTTGATGATGATGGTGATGGCTACTGACGACTGGCAGCAAGGGTTGGTCCAGTCGCTGGATGATCGCCTGGGTGAGGCCACCCTGATGCTGGCAGGACAGATCGGCACCGGCCGCGGCCATACACGCCAGCACGCAGGCCGTCGAGTCCGCCGTAGTGGAGGCCACCTCGAGCGGCGTGCCACCCACCAGGGTGAAATTGTTGCTGCTGCTGCTGCTGGTCGCGGGTGGCGACGAGACGCGCGCCACTAGTCCGCTGGTACCCGCCGCTGCCAATAACGCGCCAGTGGCGGGCGAAGCCGGACTGGAGAAGGTGATCTCGTCGCCGACGCTGAGCTTCTCGACGACCGAGCGCGGGCTGTGTTGGTGTGTCTGCTGCTGCTGCTGCTGGTGTGCTTGCTGCTGCTGGTACTGTTGCTGCCGCTCGCTGCCATTATCGAGGTGGCTGACCGTCCGGCCGGTCTGATCGAGGACGCGATTCTCGATGTATCCGGGCGAATCGCAGCGCTCGACGATCAGGCTCGATCCGTACGGGCAGACGGGCGACATGGGCGTCTCGGAGAAGGGCGAGCGCGGCCTGCTGCTGCTGCCGTGGCCCTGATCGCTGCCGCTGGCATGCGGCGGGGGCGAAGGCGGATATCGGTCGATCCGCGTCAGCCTGATCACCACCTGTCGCAGTTGATACTGATCTCTCATCCTCGGATCGCTGGGCTTGCTGCTGCTGCTGTCGATAGTCGTCATCGCTGTCGTCGTACCACTATTACTGCTGCTAACACCAGCACTACCACCGGCTACAGCGACGCCGCACTCGTCCTGCACCAATCGCGCACCACTACCACTACTGCTGGCATCGTCCTGGGCGATTATTTCCGCACTGTCGGCCTCGCTACTGTTGCTGCTGCTGCCCGCACTGCCGAGGGATATTTCACCCAGTGTTCGCTCGCGCTGGCTCACGTGTATCGGCGACAGACGCTTCACGTAGTTCTTCAGCTGCTGGGCCTTCTCCTCGGAGACCTCGGCGCCGAACGGCTGAAAGTCCTTCTTCGGTGTGGTCGTCGTCGTTGTCGTTGTCGTCGCAGTCGTAGTCGTCTGTTGCGGCGTCGGCGAGCCGACCTCGTTCAGCCGTCTTCGGGCCATCTCCAGTGGACAGCTGGGCGACGACGGAGCTGGCTGGACTGCGTCCGGCACTGCGGCGTCCAGAGGATTCTCGACGCTCTCGGAATAATCTAGCCTGTGTGCAAAAGATACGTATCGTTTATGTATATATGAAGGCGATTGAACTCCGGTACCATAGACGAATGTTCAACATTTAATGTCTGCGTTTTGGCCAACGAAAAAGTTTCTTTGTTATGAAAGGGTCATTAAAACGAGAGGCTTGCTAATCAGCAGTGGTAATACTTTTTTCATATTCATAGCCAGAAGAGAGTTTCGATTTGCTACACAGCGAAAGGAATTGACCGACGAGTGTGTTGCGTGTGCTTTGACTTATACTATTACTTTAACTTTGCCACTTGCAGGTTTACAGATGAAGGTACGTCGCCATCTAGCGGCGGAGGCTCAAAGTGGTATAACCGTATACATCTTTTAAATTTTGCAATCGTATTTTCTAGGTCATTTAAAAGGCATTTAACATTGGCAACGTAATTGTCATAGAAAAATCGCCAAAAACAATCTGGTAATGTATTTTGAAAAATTTTAAATGGTAATTTTTTTTATCATTGATACATTCATCAACGTTCAAAATTTTTACCCGGATTATTATAATCCTCGATCCAATTGAATCTCGATGCTTACCTCGTGTCTTCCTCGGAATAGCTCTTCGTAGACAGACTACCCATAGTAGTTTGTTGCTGGAGCGTGTCATCGCACGTGTGACGATTCTCGCTGCTGCTGTCGTTGCTGTTGCTCTCGGATAGCGGCAAACCGTTATTTTCGCTCGTGTCGAGCGTCAACGCGGAAGGACTCGGCAGCGGTGCCTTTTCTTCCTCTTCTGCTTCCGTTGCTTCTGCTACAGTCGTGGACGAGTCGACGAGAAGCGTCGTCGTGGTCTCTGCTGCTGCTGTTGGGCCCAAATCCACTTGGTCGAGCAACGAGGACGAGCAGTCGGTATCGTTATCGAGCGGCGCTTCCTGGACCAAGCTGCTGGCTTCGGTCGTTACTGTTGCTGCTGCTTCTTCTGTCGATTCTGTTGCTGCGGTTGGGTCGGATTCTTTGTCTGAACAGGATGATTCGTCGCTTGGTAGCTGCGGTGGCTGCTGCTGCTCTGGCGCATCATCGTCGTGGTGCGAAAATTCAAAGTCTGCGCGATGATTATGATTGTGATGGTGGTGGGCCAAGGCGGAATCATCCACTATTGGATCCTGGACCAACGGTGGTTCCATCTCGGCTCGGCGATTGGTCTGCAATGATACAAAATAATAACGATTCCATGAGTCTCTTTGTTTTTAAAGAATTACTTCAATATTAATCGATATATTGTGAATAAACCCAAAAGTGTTAATATAATACAATATCAGGGACGTAGATTTACGCATCGATTTGCTTTTGCCGAAAAATTGGCAGTCCTTAAAATTCAAGAGTTGCAGCATTCAGTCGAACAGCACAAGTCAATCGTAAAGATCTAAAACTCCGCTAGCAAGCTTAGCGCAGGAATTTTCGCGCTCTCATCAAGCGCGCGCGAGTAATGGGTATATCGATCCGAGAAGAATGACCCGCGCCGCTACCGCAGCAGACATCGAATGCACTCTCCGTTGCATTATTTGCAACTGCGGTGCATTACGTGTGTACACCTTTCATGCCGCATAACAATTGGATCAAAATCCTAGATTTAGACGCGCGCAGTTGCCTTATAATATTAACCGAAGTGAGCGTGTACGTGTATATATTGCGGTATAATAATACAATTGTTTGCGATTCGCGCGCGCGCAAGTTTCAATTCCCCCGCGCGCTTGCGTCAAAGCCGCCGGCAATCTATATGTGTGTGTGTGTGTGTTCATATTAATATAAACGTCGACGAGTGCGGGGGTGCGGTTCATTGACACGTCTCTCGACTGCACGCAAAGCGATTTATATTATTATTATTATACATACAAACGTCAACTTCCGATCGAATTCGTAAAAAAAAAAAAAAAAAAAAAAAAAAAAAAAAAACGATACAATTGGCGCGTGAACTGAATGAACTCTCGATACGAATTCGCACAGTCGCACTCGAACGCGAAATCAATAATACACGTGCGGCAATTGTATAGATCTGTGTACAGCGGCGCTCGCTGACTTCTTGTATATAATCCGCGGTAAAGAGCCGATCTTGTCGCGCTTTTTTCTCCCTCGTCCCTCGTCGCATATAAAAACACGAAAAAGAGAGTCACGACGTTCGCGCGCGCAAGCACGATCAACGTGTCCGATTTGTGTGTGTGTATGTATGTGCGCGCGCTCGGTGCAAAGCAAAACTGTGGCAAACGAGAGAGAAAGAGAGAGAGACCTCGAAGTGGTAAAAACATCATCGTATAAATACCGAAACGTGCGCGCGTGGATTATCCCAGCGGAATCAAACTGCGGCGCACGTCGCGCGTGTATATACGTATATAGCGGTAACACATATATATTTGCAAGGTGCGCGCGAAAGAGAGATATAATAAAGCCGCACGGGGGGCATACGCGCGTACTGCAACGATGACGTCCGGGGGTGCTGTGCGTGGGCGGGGGGGAGGGGTATATTTTTTTCTCGAAACATATTATAACGTACGCATCTTGTCGATGGGTTGACAGGTCTGTGTGTATGTGTAAATACGCAATGCTATTAACACCTCGCATTATATACGGTATGTACACGACGACGATATGACGGTGGTGGTCGCGCGTAAATAAAAGCTCGAAGATACAAAAGTGCATATCCCGTATAAACATAAAGCCGCACGAGTGAGCTATCTCGAGAGTTGAGTTTATACACTCGCTCGAGTGTGCATGATCACGTACATTTATACACATCTGTGTATATGTGTATGCCCATATGTGTGACCGTGTGTATATATATGTAGGGAAAGGCCGAGAGAGAAAGAGGAAGAGCGAGTACAGTATAGAGGCGGCTCGAGCTACGTTTATACATAGAGCGAGAGAGAGAGAGTATTGCGATGGTGTGTGCTGCGCCACCAGTACCAGCACCAGCACCAGCGGCAGCAAAAGCAGGAGGTGGAGGCGGCGGCAGAGGAGGAAGAGGAAGAGGAGAAAAGGATCAATAAGCCCCGGCGCGCAGCGAGCCGTGTGGCGTTGAGGAAAGCCTGATGTGCTGCTGCTGCTGCTGCGCGTCTATATAACGTACCAACCACCGTGTGTACGCGTACTACTAATACTACTACTACTACTACTACTATCCGTAGTATTTTAATATCTCGGCAGCTGCTCCGTAGTCTTCGTTGATTCATTTTTTTTTTTTTACTTTTTTTGGTTTATCATTTATTGGCGCTATGTAACGAAGCGTGCGCGCGCGGCAAAGTATGTGCCGCACCGATCACAGAGCTTTATGTATATACAACACGCCTCGATTATCCCCCGCTTTAGCGCGAGGAGAGAGCGTGCTAAACACCAGGTATACAGGGTATATATATACTGAATCAATCAGGCACGCGCGCGCGCGCGCAGAGTAATACGTCACCTCTTTGCATCCACCTGTTTCGCCGCGTTACTTTTTTTCCCCCCTCCTGCTCTAAGCTTCTTCTTCGCGCGGTTTAGCATAAACACATTTTTTCTCCCTTCTTTTTTTTTTCGCTATTTTCCTACAGTCATTTAATGGGGAACTACAAAAACAAAAGTTGAGCGCCGACCGATTCTTTTTCGGCGCGCGCGCTTCGTGTTACGACAAAAAATAAAAATCTCGAGCGAAAAGATTTCTTCGATCGAGCGCGCACCGATCCATCATTGCTCGCCCTCTCTATCCGCGCGCGAGTCTTTAATTTATATAGATCGAGCGAACACGAGACTTTTCCAGCGGCTTATGGTTCGCAGTTAGCAGCAGTAGCTGTTGCAGTGATTTCGACACTCGATGCTAGATAAACTAAAAAAAAACAACAAATAGAGTACACAACGTTATGCAAGTTACACAATTGCCGTGCTATGCGCTGCTGCTGTACAGAATCGTGCATATCTCTCGCGCGTGCATTATTAAAACGAAATTAGAATTATTGTTCGAACTGCGCGCGGGAGCTTACGTGACGTACGTGTGCAGTGCACGGATTAATGCGGAGAGAATATGCCACTGATAGGGATACACTTGAATCAATGTATGTGACAAACGAGTTCGAGCGAGATTTTGGATAAATTCGTGCTACACGTCGAGGTATCGGAAACGAGTCGATGAGAATTTAAAAGTTTCATCGATTGGTAGAGAGGAAAAAAATCACAAAATCGTAATCGAGTAAATTTTCTGCGAGCAAAGAAAACACAGCTGTCGATTAAGCAAAGTTATCATAAACAGCAAATGAAGATGCAGTCGTTCCGAATCAAAAGAGCGCGCGCGTATATAAACGCGGCTCGGTGTATACATATGAAAATGGCTATTAATGGTGACGTATGCGGGCCGTGTTTCGCGCGCGCGCGCGACAAAGAAGAAAAGCACGCGTCTGGCGCTAGCCGCTGTTATGCGTGTATAATACGATATACATACAGCCGTCCGCTCTACGTATAATTTATCAGGGGGCAGATTTTGCTGTCGGTATACGGCAAAACGAAATTGAATAATCGAATCATTCCATTAACTGACTCTCGAGAGCAAGAGAGAAAGAGCTCGCGCTTTAATATATATACGATACAAAGCGTGCAACTCACGCTGTACGAGCCGTCTGATTCTGCACTGCACGGTCTCGAAGCGCAAATAAAGGGTAGTAGGGTTCGATCCTGCATTCAATTGTAAAAAGGAATAAATGCAGAACCCGCGATACTTCGCTGTGTTTACGGTTTTTTAAATATCAGCAGTGAAAAGCGCATACTATGCATATATCTGCTCTTTCGCACCAAAAATGTAGCGAGTGCTATATCTTAATTTTACGAAAAACGTATATTAGCCCTACGGTATCGTTACGGGACGATTCGATCGATTCGGAAGTGTCATTTCGAGCGAAGGAGGAAGAGGCGCAACACGCACGAGCTCTCTCGAGTGCGATTATACTTTGTCGCCACCGCTGATACTGCTGGTAAAAACGAAAAGAGCAAACAGGTCAGTATGCTAATGCCGAGCAGCAGCAGCAGCAGCAGCAGCTCCGAGACACGCGATGAAAAGTTCAAAAGTCAATCCTTTTGCAGTAGCAGCAGCAGCAGCAGCACTGAGTGAGCTCGAGACTTGGCAAAGATCAAACGAGTTTATGTTTTTTTCTTCCTTGGTCCTCTTTAATACGTATACAGCAGAAAGGACTTGGAAAAAAAGTGATAAAAGAGATTTTAATTAAGGCGTTGGATATTTCGGCGTACTCCGGGTACTGTACACACACAAACCCAGGCTCTTATAAGCCCGTGCAATCGCGTCTTGCGTACAAACGTACGTACGTACGTATGCCAGTGAATTGAATCCCCGCGTACGCGGCGTCGAAGCGAAAAATCCCCGCGAAGCCGGGAGAGCTCTTGCTTGGTGAAAAAAAAAAAAAAATTGAGCCGCGGAGCTCTCTTAGCTTCGGCATCGCCATGTATTATCACGTATACGTGTATGTGTGTGCTATTACTACGCAGCACTGCACACAAATGCACACACAAGAAGTAGCGAGAAGCCTCCGAGTCGCGCGCGCGCGGCTGTGCACGAGTTAGCCTATAACAGCGCTACTACTGCTACTACTACGTAGCGACACAGGCAGCAGGAAAAAAGAAAGTAGCAACCCATTTTTCGCGCTGTCAAAGCTCTCTTACACACACGATTTATCGGTAACCGTACGTGTGTGTCTGTGTGTGTGTGTGTGCAATGCCGTGTGCTGCGGTTGTCGCCACCGCTGCTGCCGCGTGCTACTGCACTCACACACATTATATATACTTCGCGATTGCTGCAGTCACTACTCGCGTTGCCGCCGAGGATATAAACAGCACGAAGACAGGATGTGTATGCGACAAATCGGAATGCATTTTTTTTCCAGAAATCTGCGAATCTCCACGAGGCGCGACTCTATTTTTGAATGCGCACACGAGTCGGTGCGAATCGGCGTACATACGTGTTCCAAAACGTTCCACGGGCTGACGAATATAGAAGTTTATAGATTTGAAAAAAAGGGTCACCAATGTAGTAAAGTATCGAGTCGCCTTTAAGCATGCCAGCAGTCTTCGAAAGGACCACGACGTCTCGCTCGTACCATGCGTTTGAATATTACAAAGCACAAGGTTAAAATGCGCACATGCTTTATACAGCACTGTATACCAAGAGAAGGAAGCAGATCTAGCTCTATGTATAGCATCCACATATCTCAGTTGAGACGCGCGTGCACACGCACATAATATACGTCACGAAACATTGACGCTGCCACCGAGGCATAATATTATTATAATACACCTGCACAGTGCACATTCGGAGCAGTAGTTCGGAGCAGTAGTGCAACAACTGCAGCGAACACGAGACGCGCGGCGGACACACATGACGCGATCGCGCGACATATTAGAAGCGTTACCTTCTTTCAGTATCGGCGTCTGCGTGAGCGTCGAAACGTCACAGTCGACGGCGACGACGACGACGACATCATCGCATCGCTGGCCGCAGTAGCAGTAGTAGTAGTAGTAGGTAATAGCCGCAGCTTTATCACGCGTATAATCGTCGATTCTTATCTTCGATCTTTATACGTGTGTGTGTGTATAAGCAATCGTTTATACGCGAAAACACACACGGACACTTTTGCGAGTCGAGGCAGATTATTGCACACGGTCGCGTCTGATTTGTTTTTTTTTTTTTTTTTTACATACGTATCGTCGTATATATTAGGCACTGAGAGCGGAACGCACACTCGGCACTATATAACTCGATACGTCTGTGCGTGCGCGTGTGTATGTTGGTTTCAAGAATAACAATGTAACGTAAACGACGCCTAATTCACCGATTTGATTTTGTTTCTTTCTTTCTCGCTGTCTCTCTCTTATCTTTTTTATTTTTTTTAAATGCCACTGGAAGAGAAACACGACGACGACGCGGCACACGCTACTGGTACGATACTTTTTCTCTGGAACTATCCAAGTGTGCTACTGCGCTCCGTTTTTTTTCTTCTCCTCTCTCTCTCTCTCTCTCTCTCAAAACTAGCAATTACACAACACTGCTCTCTCTCTCTCTCTCACTGAGAACAAACAAATGAAAAAAAGAAAGAAAAACTTAAATAGCCTCGTGCACGTTATTTTTCATCAACACTGTACCTTAGCCGCCACAACAAAAACATCAACAACAACCACAACGACGACGACAATAACAACAACGATAACGGAGCAGCGTCGTGTCTGTACGCGGCGTTGACACTGTATTATTTTTTCCTTTTTATTATTACAAAACTTGCTCACAATTGCCTTCTCAGCTCTTGCTGCTCTCAAACACACTGCACTGCTGTAACACTATTCACTCGCTGGCTCGCACGAGAGCGTTGGCTTGGGCTGGACACATACACGTTGTGCTGCTGCTGCTGTTGCTGGCTCGGCTCTCTTATAATATTAGATCGCCGATATTACGTACGGCTCGATGTGTGTACATGTGTGTGCGCGCGCGTGTGTGTGTGTGTGAGCGCTACTAGTATATATTGTAGCAGCACAGCAGCAGTAGTAGCGCGACACAGAGATAGATAGAGAGAGAAAGAGAACCTCGACATTCAAAAAGCGATATGCGTATATGAAATAATGTGCGCAAAAGTGAGCGAGAGACAGAGAAAAAGGAGCAAGTATAAGAAAGTCTTTTAAACCAACACTCACGGTTTTACACTCACAGTTACACACTTGTATGTGTATATAATACACAAGGACTTTCACCGATATTATTATTCGGCGATCACTCGTGTAAGACCTTCTGCAGCTGCTGCTGCTGCTGCTGCGGCTTCTGCGTCGGTGTGTTCGTAATAAATACTTTTATCCGTTTTTGCACACGCACACTTTTCTTTTATACTTTATTTAATAAAAAAAAACGTGCAAAAAAAAGGCGTCGTTGTTTAAAGGTGTATAAACAACAAACACAGAGCATAAGAAAAACGAGACGTGAGAAGTAATAGTAGTAGTAGTAGTAGTAATCGTAGTAAAGTGCGACTGCAGCGCGTTTTACACAGATATATGTATATTATTATTGTTGTACGTATGTAGTGTTATATACCTATATCGTATATAGCGTGCGTGGGAGTAGGAATGGGCGCGCTTGTCGCGCGCACCGCTTCGCGGCGGAATGAGACTGCCGGAGTGCCAGGCAGGCAGGCGAGCAGGCAGTCAGGCAGGCACACACATACACATGCACATGCACAGACACGTATACACACAGACACAGGCAGGTTCTCTCTCTCTTTCTCTCGCTCGTTCTGCGCGACGGGCGAGTGTATCTTTGTCCCCCTGCGGCCTCCTCTACCCGCGCCTTCTCTCTCTCTCTACTCTACTCTACGGTCTCTCTATCCCTCCCCGATGCGCGCGGAGCGCGCGCCTCTGCATGCTGCTGCTGCTGCGTACAACTACGTACACAGACGCGCGCACACACACACACACACACACACAGACTGCGTACACGTATATATATATCTAAAGTCGGAGTCCACACAGACACACAGCTTATAGCTATATATCGGTGGTACCTATACGTATATATATACACACGCCGCGTAAACTTACTCCGCTGCGCTCCGTATAGTTTCCTATATACAGAGCACAGAGCACGCGGACTATATATCTATATGGGTACGAGCTGTATACATATTTTTCTCTCCTCCACGACGACGACGACGACGACACACGCGCGCGCACACGCTTACACGGACAGACGCTCGTATATATACTCGCGCTGGTTGAATTCGCACGGACACGCACACAGGCGCACAAAAGCACGTATATATAGGTATATGCATACAGAAAACGGAGTCGCGCGCGCGTTGTACATTCACTCTCTCGTGAACCACTATTTCTCTCTTTCTCTCTGTGTACGCGCGGGCGTGTGTGTGTTTATGCTCGTTTGTCTGTGTGTCTGCTGTTGCAGTTCTCCGGTGTGTGTATATGTATGTGTGTGCATCGCAGCAGCAACAGAGAGCGAGCACGAGCGGCCACACTGCGAGCCAACCCAACGCCGTGCCGATGCAGGCCCATGCAGCCTGCAGCCGATGTACACACTGCACACACACACACACACACACACACACACACACACACACACACACACAAACGGATACACACCATAAGCGCTCACGAGTATACGCGAGGAGATAGGCTTTCTCTGCACCTCGACGTATATATGCATGTCGTGCGAAATGCACCCACCGCCTATATAATATATAAAGCGCGTAGCTAAGTGTACTTGTGCGAATTACGCGTGAAACTATGCGAAAGACGATAAATGCACGCAGCCAATCCACATGCATCAGGTATGACCCGCGCGTCGGTCCAGCGGTGGCGCGACGACGAGATGGGCTGTGCAATCCTCCAATCTGTGTACGTACGAATGTCTACGAATGCGTCTCTAAATATATATAAACGATACAGCCGAGGCAGAATTCGAAGAAGTTCTACATCAGGAAGGATGATCGCGAGACGCGGACGAATTATCCCCACTCGTGCGGCTGACGCGCGCGCGCGGCCCCTTGGACTGTATAGCGATCATCTATGTGTGTTCGGTCGCTCCTTTTCGGACCGGCCGCGCTAACTTCGGGGAATCTTGACTTACACCCCTGCACGACGGCCAAGCATCGGCCCCAGTATGCATTTCTACATTCGTATACATAAAACGCTGCCCAGTATATGAAAGATGTGTCTGTGTGTGTGTACAAGTGCACGAGGCGCGCGCGCGTTTGGCGGCGACGGCGGCGGCGTTGCTGCCTGCCTGCCTGCCGCGAAATAGAGCTGCTGCCTTGCGCCAGTTAGAGGTGATTGCCTTGATTATATATTTGCGGTTCGTTTGCTCTCTCTCGCTCTTCTCTTTCTCACAGTATATATAATGTGCGCGCCGCGCGAGTACGAACGGCTGTAAAGCACATACACATACACACACATACACCGGAGTGCGTATATTATGAGTATGGTATACCGCGCGCACTCAAACACACCCGTGTATATAAGCGAAATCCTCGGTAATAATGAACAACCTCGCGAGTTAAGCTCTCTCCCTCTCTCATCTTTGTTCCTGATATAGTATTGCCAACGATCCTTCACGATACAACAGATAGCGTACTTGTATTTAAATACGTATCGATCGTTATAATTACCACCATCGTGTTGCGTCGGAGATTCGTAATATAAACCGTACAGTATTCACCAGTCACAAAAACTGCGGGACCTGCTCCTGTCTTGTCATCATCTAAAGCTCGCGCGTGGATCTCTCTAGGCCAAAGTGTCACGGGTATAGGCATTAGAAAGCTCATCCGAGCTTTGGCAAGATCTCACTGCGCATAAAAGCTCCAGCTCGTGATGGTGATTCGCGATAAAGCTTGCGCACGCAACTATACGCTCGTACGGATGTAAGTTAAAAAAACGTCTGTATGATCGAGCTTTGGCAGCGGTGGGGCTGCGACCCCCTACACGCGCGCGACTCTTTAAAAATGAAGTCACTCGCTCGCACACTCATCCAGCTTGACATGACGAGCCGATCTCGACGTTCTCTTTAGTGCCACATAACACTGCCGCACGAAGCTGTTGCGCGTGGTCCCATAAGGAAGCGGATAAAACACGCGCACACACACATATGCACACGGAGAATCGAGCTACATATACAAGCGCGGTGCAGTGAGGTGTTCCGTGGGTGCAGCTTCTTCGGGTCTCGTACATACGTGTACGATACCCGTGATTCGATCGTTGCGCACTCGGAAGAAAAAAAAGGAAGAAAAAAGGGCCGAGAAAAAAAGCAAAGGGAAGAGAAGAGAAAATAAATGAAAAGAGGAGCAGTGAGTAAAGTATAAGTATAAACATGTCCCCAAAGCCCCTGGCTGCCTGCGCTCGTGTCTCCGTCTGTGCGTGTATCTGTATCTGTGCGCGAGTGTATTCGTATATATATACAGCACCCGCACAAGAGCACCGCCTCGGATTTCACCGCGTGTAGCTCTGTACGCTCGAACTCGCTGCCTTGTGCCGCTGCCACCCCCGCGCACCCTGTATCTCGGAGTACGCGGATACGCACAGCTTCTTGTGCGTTATACCGCTGAGGTTCCTGCTCCTGCTTCGGTTGTCGTTTCCATGCGCTGCGTTGTACTATACGGACGCGCACACGGACATCGTATTTATATATGCGCCCCCTTTCCTTAGGCTCAATTTTACGCCTCGTCTCTTTTGCGACCGATGGCCGCTAGAGCGCGAGGCGCGCTACCCGCGACACTTTGAGTCCTCAAGTTCCTATATAATATATGGAAGATATCCCTGATATTCACCTGTACAAATACATTCGATTCATACTTTATTTTAACATTCGGAGCTTTTCGTATACGATGCTCGCCTCTCTCCGTAGAGCTCAGAAAGGCAGTATATATAGCAGCTCCGGTGTAGCCAGGCACGCACTCTCCTTATAGCAGCTCTCGCGTATAATACACGTATACTTGTATATATACACACAGAGCGCCGGGGCAAACGACGCAAACTTTTCCGAAGCTTGCGCGCTAAAATACACCTCCTCCTCGATCCTCTCACCCTGCGCACGCGTTTATTCGACCTGTTCGGCGTGGAACTTTCGGCGCGATATTTATGACAAGACTTTTATTTCTCTCGTTCGTTCGCTCGCTCGTCTAAATGTATATACATATACGCGAAGCTAATTTAATGGATTTAATTCCTCGAGATGCCCGGGGTAAATAAAAATACATACAGCGTGTAATAGTGCCACACAGCACACAGTATATATAAGCACGTGAACGGCGCGACATTACAATCTCGTGCCAATAGTTAATTCGACGGAAAAAATCCGATAAATTTCATCCTCCGGATAGATCCGATGGATTTGCCGAGCGTGCGCGCAGTAAATAAGATTTATCAACTCCCCGAAGAATCCTCGAAGTTGTTATATATGTATATATAATAATACAGAGCTCGTCTATAGCCCCCCGGCTTCCCATCATACACATTGTTGTTGTGTGCGGGAACTCAAGCAGCAGTAACACAGTGCGGTATAGCAACAGTGCAGTGCAGTAGTGCGGTGCGCGCGGATCAAGTCGAAAGCTGCGGCAGTCGCGAAACAAGACGGCACGTCGTCGTCGTCGTCGTCGTACTTTGAAGCTTGCGCAATTCGAAGCGCGAGCTTGCAAGCTCGAGGACTCGAGCGGTATATATACAAACTTATATTATATCGTACTTGCACCTTGCAAGCTCTCTCTCTCTCTCGCTGAGGTATTGCGAGTATA